AGTTTATCTTAGCATAAAGACTGGAAGAAGGGGGAAACAGCTAGTCTTGCTCTGTCCAAAAGTAACAAAATGCATCTACTAGTATCTCTAAAGCTCACTAATTAACACATCATATCTCATTTGTTTCATTTGCACAAAAACCTAAGTGTAAAAATGACTTGATGTGGAATGTTATGTGCTAGTAACTTTCTTTTCTTTCCCTGAAATTACATGGCCTCCACTTTAACCCATTTCTCTGGGGAAGGGAGATTCAATTTTCCCTAATCAATCAGTAGAGACCGACATATGCACCTGAATCCATCATCATTTTAAAGTTGACACTGATGCATAGGCATGTCAGCATACTAAGAGTGGAGCAGAGGAGTGGAGCAAACTATGATGTCAGGTAACACTGAGAAGACATGTCGTATTTGAATAATAATAGCATCGTCTAACTTGTCCGGTGCACAGCTTAGCAGCAGTGTTTGTCCCACCCATGGGGCTGATTGGCTAATCTTTAGTCCCCCCGAGGTGCTCATAGATAATCAATTTTTTAACCGAGAAACCGCTGTTTCATGTTACGATGCCAGACCACAATCAGTGGGTGTATTCAGTGCTCTGGACCCAGGCAAGGAGTTTCTGATCCTGCACAATAAATAGTTACAGCACACAACCACATAAAATGTCAAACTGATATATTCATACTTCAGACTCACTGTTTCCAGCCTTTATGCTAAGCTAACTAGCTTCATATTCAGCCAAGAGACAGGACTCTCTTCTTTTTCAAATTGACAAACTACTCCTTTAAATTAATCAAATTCTTTGCTATGGGATGCAAAACCAACATTTCCTTAAATCTACAGCTGTTGTATTCTTCTGATGGAGAACAGGCCAAGTGCAGTGCTGAAATAGATTCTGCACAGCTGGAAATTATTGTAGTAGAAAATTGTCCCTCTAAGACATCAGCAATAAACCTCCGATTTAAAGAGCAAGAGCTTCTCTCCAGACTTACGCTGCGGCACCAGCTGTTCCGCGGTCTTACAGTTCATAGTGAAAGACACGGCAAGATCAATCTCTCCACTGGATCTGCCCTCAGCGGACCAGATGCTGCTGCAAGAAAAGTTTTGTTTTAGGAGCAGCTCTAACATTTTTTTGACTGGTAAAACCCTTAAGTTCTTGCTCTCATTATTATATTACGATGGCCACTTGTACATGCTATATATTACTACTGGAGGCCGTTCCCTGTTGGGTTTCTATAAGGCCTTTTGGGAAATGTTGGAAGTCACACAATGTAGAAGTAAATTAGGCAGGTGGAAGGAAAGACCTCATGGCAAAATAACCCATGACACATCTTTGATGATGTCTAACAGGATAATAATGCTCGAGGGTGGAATTTACCTGTAATTGTATGCAGTACGATGGTATTATTCACCCCAGACAGACTCTGTTCCAATATTGGACGACACATGAATAAAGCAGCTTCTCATTTCTGCTGTCTGCAAACTCATTTTTGTGAGTCAGTAAATGAGCCTAAATGAGGTGGCATTTAGTTTTGCTGCTATGTCAGTGCGTTGTTACAGTAAATAAATGGGATTTTCTCATTTCCTGCCGTATTTATGTGCAGATATCACTTGGTAAAGTCTACCTCTTGAGCTTTCACAATGTAATTTGTTGTTGGCTTTAGTCAACTGCGAGTTAAGACCGTATTTATGTTGATGGGGTCAACAGTATCAAAGTGAACTCATGCCATAATGGCCACAGTGACGCATTTGCTGCCCCTAAAATTGGACCTACACTTAAAACACTGTTCAGCTTATGCATCGCTTTTTCTTTCTTACCACTGGGACAAACTGTTGTCTTTTCACAGCCAAGCAGCACCGGTTCAGACCTGGGTCAAACAGTACTTTAAAATAATTCTTCACATTTGTTCATCCCTGTTTGCAGCACCAGATGGCCTGAGGTTTACGATGTCAAAACAACTCATATGTCGTGTTGTGCAAAATGTTACAAAGAATTCTAAATCAGATACTTTCCTGTCACTAATTACTGGCGCTCATTTAAACGTTTACTGTGTAAAAACGCACATTTCTGACTAAAAGGTTTTCTTTAGGTCCCAGAGCTGCTCCGTTTTACCCCTTGCTGTTGGGGTACATTGTTTTCTTCATGTCCTGTTGTGCAGTAGCCATGTGGAAATGGATCAATCAGGCAGTGCAGTACTCATAATGAAATAAAAATTAGCTCTGTAGTTAAATAAAAAAGTAGCTGCTCTGACATTCTGTTTAAAGCTGGAAGACAGTGCGACAAAGTCTAACACAAGGGACACACAAGTAGAGTGCGAAAACACACGTTTCTTTTGTTCTCCATACCCCAACACATGAATGTGACAATTTGGGATTTCAGTTGGATCTGGACTGTGCGACAGAGTCCTCTGTCACTGGCAGCAACTACAGTCACAGGGAGTAGCCGGGTAGTATGCTCAAGCAAGTGTAGGGTTTAACACAATCTCTCAATCAGTAATCTCCTCAGACATATGATCCATTCCCACCGTGTAAACATCAGCTGAAAGTTGCTGAAATAAATGTTTGATTCATTTATTATATTGAGTAATATCATTTCTCATTTGTTCAGTTAGTGGTGTGACAAAAAAAAAAGATCCAAGCCCAGAAACAGGTCTTCTTTCTGTGTGCATCCAGGTGTTTCTGACCTGTTAAGATATTTTCATCATAGAACACATCATATCGGAGGTTTTGTATTATTCCTTCATGTATTTCGGGCTTATAGTATAATTGCTAATGATGTAATTGTTAAATCCTTTGGTAACATCTAGAAGGAGCTGAGTCAGTGGGGGTGGTCATGGATAAACATCCTGTTTATACATATCCGAAATACACATGGAACAGGAAAGAAATGATTAATGGATTCGAGCTTGGACTAATTTAGACTGTGTTCTTTCCCCAAGAAGCAATATAAACAAACACCCAAAGACTCATTTACATACTGTGGGATGGGGGTGGGAAGAGGGTTTCAATTAAAATTTTGGTTAGAAAAGTTAACGTCCGTGGGTCAGAGTGATGGATTAACTGAGGCCGTGGAAGAGTGGTTTGAATAGGCCTTAATGATTACAGACAAGAGAAAGCATCCAACTGTACGGAAGCCCTAAAAGGCCATGCATTCATACATTTTATTTCCTCCGCTTTCCTGTGATAACGAGTTAATTTTCTCGAGATCTCGAAAAACGAAACTTTGTTTTCCCAGATAACATATATAAATATAATATATATATATATATTATATATATAAATCATGGAATTTTTTATTGAATTTCTTCCACATTGTGCAGTAAAAAGCTTGATATTAATTATACTGTATTCTTATATGTGTGTAAGCAAATTTTACCATCCATAGCCAGGAATAATGAACAATATGTTTTTACTGCACCTCAAATATGAGAAAAGATGCCACAGGTACAATATGGAATTTTGTTTTGGCATTTCTCACATTGTGCAGGTAAAAATGCTTGATATTAAGTATGATTTTTATTCTTCATGGAGCGCATGAAACAACTTTAATTAACATATTTTATTTAATGTAGGTTTAAAACCGGAAGGATAACGCTGTTTCTCCGCAATTACCATAATGCTGAGAATACTTGTACACTCGAAATTTAAGTGCGGCTGATTTGACCACGGAGATCGGAGTAACGGCTGGCTTGACCGCAGTTATCATATCACAGTCATTATCTCGAGATCTCGAGAAAATTAACTCGTTATCACGGGAAAACGGAGGAAATAAAATGTATGAATGCATGGCCCTTTAGGGCTTCCGTAAAAAACACCTTAATTTTCATTAAATATCAGCATCGAAGACATACAGAAAACCGCTCGGTTAAAATTCAGGAAA